CATCTCTGCTCACTGAAGCCTCTGCCTCCTGGGCTCAAGTAATCACCTCAGCCTCCCAAGTAGCTGGGACTACAGGTGCACACCACCACACCTGGCTATTTTTTTTTTTTCAATTTTTTTGTTGATATAAGGCCTCACCATGTTGCCCAGGCTGGTCCTGGGCTCAAGCAATCCAACCACCTCGGCCTCCCAAAGCAGTGGGATTACAGGTATAAGCCACAATGCTTAGCCAGGAGGCACAATTTTGGAGTAGAGAATGCCACAATTGGGCAGTAGGAGGGTACTGAGTAGTTTTTCTAGTTGAAGCACAGACAGGAGCTCTGAAAAGGATCTGAAGCCTAATTTAACCTTTTAAAAAAATTATATTATTTTTATATTAACTCTAATTTTAAAAGTATAAACACTGCATTTTGTTTCATAATTTATTTTCAAATGGTTTATTTAATATACTGCATTTGTTAACGTCTCCTCCAAAGTGCATCTTGTAGAATGCAAAAACATCCTGTTAATGATAGGCCTTTTGTCAAGAATGACAGCCTGTCATTATTTTCCTTTCAAACGAGAAGATGATATAACACCAAGTTATAAGAATGAAGCACAAATTATATTTCACAAAAAGCATGTAACTTTTACTTACTTCATTTGGGAACATAATTACAGTATTTCATATTTTCTCAAGTTTCACAAAAATACCCTAAGTAATTAGCTCATATAGACACTAATAATTTGAAAGGGTTATCACCTTTTTTTCTGTAGCAACTTTGCTTACAGAACATTATTTACAATTTTTTTTTTTTTGAGACGGAGTTTCACTCTTGTTACCCAGGCTGGAGTGCAATGGCCCGATCTCGGCTGACCGCAACCTCCGCCTCCTGGGTTCAGGCAATTCTCCTGCCTCAGCCTCCTGAGTAACTAGGATTACAGGCATGCGCCACCATGCCCAGCTGATTTTTTGTGTTTTTAGTAGAGACGGGGTTTCACCATGTTGACCAGGATGGTCTCGATCTCTTGACCTCGTGATCCACCCGCCTCGGCCTCCCAAAGTACTGGGATTACAGGCGTGAGCCACCGCGCCCGGCCCATTATTTACAATTTAATAGCATTAAAAAATTTTGTGCAATGTACTTATTTAATGTAGCTCACTTAATGATTCAGGTAAAGTCAGAAGACCACTCTTGTGGACCTATTATTTTAAAATCTTACTGTCTTGTTTCCTACATCATAATGAATATCATGTTTTCTCTTTCCTTGATCAACTTCTAGAAAACCTATTCTCTAAAATGTATTGCTTTACATAAAATACATTTCAGCCTTTTCCCCCTTGATTGCTGTGGTGAAATAACATTCTAATAGCTTCCACAATGTGAAATTTTTACCATTTCTATTTTGTTCTTCAGGCTGCAAATCTGCTCCACCCATCAAGAATTTTCTTTAGAATAAAGATAGGGCACTTTGCCAGGAACAGGGCAGGAACTGCAATTAATAGGTAAAGGTTAATGGTGAAAGTGACTTTACAGTAAGCAACAATATTCAAATTGAGAAGAAGAAATCAAAATACAAGATAGGCAAAGATTTTAAGAAAATACTCATCTGCTTATAATTAGTTCAGGTTTTGTGACATGGATGAATTATATTTCTGAGGACTGACAGTGTCTTTGAATAGAATTGCAGAGCCACTCTGGGTTATGTTTGAAGACATGCACAGAGTAATAGGATAATGTACAAATGCCATTTCATGTATAAATTGCCCATAAATTACAACCGATGAGCTTAATTTCAATCCCAGACAAGATTTAGAATATATTATGAAAGAATGGTTTGTGAGGTTATATTAGACAAAACAATAACCCTTGGACCAATTTTATGTTCATGAGACCAAGCATGTAGGCTTTGCCATTTCATTTTATGTAGGATTACTAGATCCAGGGACCATATTAGGCATAGAATATATGGACTTTAAGAAAACATTTGACAAACTTTGTCATAATAGTCCTGAAGACAGTATACAATAAATATAGGCTGGTAACAAGATAATTGGATAATTTAATGATCAGATTAAGAGTTGTACCTGAAATGTGCTGAATAATAGAACAGTATCAACCAAGGTGATATGACATGCAGTGGGGTTCTGTCCTCAACTTTGTCAATTCAACATTTTAAAATCAATGAGTTAGATAGATAAAATGACTTATAAGGATCAACTTTGCAAAAGACATAAAACTTACAATTTTCTGGATACCAATGGCAGTAACTAAGGCAATAACCAAAGGCAATAATTATGTCTAAGACATACATAACTATGTTATATACTCAAATATATGAGTCTAAGATAAGATGTATATTTTTATATATTTTATATATTTTTATATATTTACATTTATATCTGTAGTTCTATACTTGGATCTGAAATGCCAAATGCTCACATAATAGAATGGGAAGTGTTGGTTGCAAGGAATAGGTGGCTTAAGAGAGAAAAGAGAAAATAATAGAGGAATATTGGGCATGAATTCCAAATGGCAAGTGGGACAGCCAGATCTCAAGAGGGACTGGTGAGGAACTGGAAGATTTTTGGCTATGTTAGTGGCTGGTTCCTAATTATCTGTTTCTGGAGCTACAGTGTCCTTGTCTCAGCTTCTGTCTGTATGTCTACTCATTCATCTCTCAGATTTTAGTTATGTTACTTATTCTGTATCTTGTACATGACATTTTCTGTCTTATGGCTATGCCAAAGGTGACCTAAGTGCCTGAATCTTCAACAGTTTCAGGCCCAGTAGGCTCATCCCAGCTTGGGCTTGGTTCTTTTGGGTCTGATGTCCAATCCTGGTTCACCAAGTCAGCCATGGCTTAGGTAGATGGGTGGAGGGAGTCTACATTGCCAAACATAGGAGCCAGGCCTGTGGAAAGTGTATTCTCTAAAATGAAAACAGAGAAAGGAAACAATTGGTATATTCAGTATAATGAGACATTGGTTTGCACTGCAATATTTTTAAAATCAGGGGTTTTATTTAACATAAAGCCAGTTAGAGTATATAACAGCAGAATATAATTGCTAAAAATATGGAAGACCAATGAAATCTAAGGCTGCATTAGAACATATTACAATCATATTAGTAATAAGATACTAGAATGAGAGAAGTTTGAGTCTTCTCTTATTCTATTGTAGTGAGACCAGCCACACTAAACTATTCCATTCTGGGCACCATACTTTAAAGCACATGTAGAACACTGGAAAAATTTTAGAGAAATCTTGAATGAGGAAGAAATTCAGCCGAAGGAATTGTAAGTGTTGGCCTGGAGAAGAGAAGACATGGAGTGTTCCTGATAGCTATCTTCAAATATTAGAAAGACCTTCATGTGAAAGAGGCTGGGGATGTCCCACATAATTTCTAAAAGGACTGGGATCAGTGCACAATTCAGGGAGGCAGATTTGGGATGAGCCTGAGAAAGGATTTCCTGAGAGACACAACTGGCAGAAGATGGAACAGACTGCTTTAGAAAGTAGTTTTCCTTCATTTGGGATGTTAAAATAAAGGATAGGCAACAACATATTTAGGTTAAATAGATTGATAACAATTGAATTCATCTAGAGCTTGAACCAGGTTATCTTTATAATTACTTTTAAACAAGATGTTTAATAAATCTATACATTTGATAAAGTGGCAGTTGGATAGTTGATATAGTCATCAATCGGTATCCCACAATACTGTATTATGGTTTTTAATTTAAAATATTTATTATTAAAGTTTAAAGGATCCAAATTTTACTTTATAAAAATGTGTTATTGTTTTCTTCCAGTTGACATTTGTGTAATGACATTGGTAGGCAGATATGGCAGCATCATTGTTAGTTACAGAACAGTTTTTATAGTTTTAAGGGAGGTTACTTTAAGAGTAAATACTTCTTGGGGAGTTGGAGAGAGATAGCATGGGGAGAAATGCCATATATAGGTGATGGGGAGGAAGGCAGTAAATCACACTGCCATATGTGTACCTATGCAGTAATCTTGCATGTTCTTCACATGTACCCCAAAACCTAAAATGCAATAAAAAAAAAGAGTAAATACTTCTTGGGTAATCCAAGAGTTAATTTCAAATTTAGTGCCCCCGATCAAGTATTTTATGAAGCCATCTCTTATCCTTTGTGAATAGGAAAACGAGCAGAGGCTACTAATAAATATTTATACCTGAAACAGAGAAAAGAATCATCTCCCTTCTAACTTGGCTAAATTTCATTTTTCACTGGCCCTATGCTGTCCAGAAGTCATACAACACTTTATCTGAAGGAAGGAAGAGGATATAGCCAATATACATGTGATAGATAAATATAATACAGATGGATAAAGGCACAGGTGCTGGTTTTAAATAGACCTGAGTTTTAATCCCAGCTTCTCCACATATTAGCCAGTTACTTAATTTCAATAGTTTCAATTACCTACTAAGAACTGACTTGGGGAGAAGAGATTAGGTTCAAAGTATTTTTCCTGTTTGTAGATTTATGACAGAATGTTAAATTCTGTAAAAATCATAAAATGCCAAAACTGAACAGAAGCACAGTTCATTTAGTGTGATGCCATAATTTTACAAATGAAGAAAATAAGATCTGAAAAAGCCATGGGGACAGAGTAGTTTGCAATGAAAGAACAGTAATTTCCTCCCACTTTGTGGAAAATTCATCTTAAAGCCAGAATTATAAAGATTATAAATTTTTCTATTTTTAGTTTTATTTTATGGAAAATATTTCAAGAGCAAATCTTTCTTAGAGGTTGCATGGAGAAACAATTGCTCTGAAAGATCTTTTTCTAATCCCAAGATTTTGTGTCAGACTCAATATGCCAGTTTTAAATTTTTTTATGTAAATGTGGGCAATGTCATAATTATTGCTCCAAGGCATAGTATGCTATGTGTGTACTTCATTCACCCAGCATGGTTACAATATCTTCAGTTGAACTTTATTTTTTAGGACCAAAAAAAAAAAATAGTAAGTGTATGTTCTGTTTCTAGATGTTGCCTGAAGACAAAGTTTGTAAGTACTGTGGAGTCAGCTATCTAATTCTTCATGAATTTAAGGCCATGGAAGAAAAAGTGAAAGCAATGGAAAAAGAAATGAAATTTTATCAAGGAAGTGTAGAACGTGAAAAGAGACTTCAAGAAAAAATTAAGTCTCTTAGCCAAGATCTTGAACAGTACAAAATTGACAACAAATCCAAAACAGAAAGGTTAGAGTATGTTTTTCTTTTTTATCATTTATTTAGTTGAAAGAAAACTATAAGAAATAAGTAGACTTTGAATGTTATTATAAAATTTCTTTACATCAGGTATAATTTATACTTTAATATATTTGTTCCTTAATTATATTAATAATTACTAAATATAATTGTTATAGTTTGATTTCTTTATAGGCATGTATTTACTGTCTGAAAAACTAGAAACCAATTAATTTAGTAACCATAATCTGAAATGTTCAAGTTTTTTCCCCAGGTACATATCTTATGTTTTATTATTAAGAAAATTTACCAAAAATCAGATGAATTTTGGTAGTTTTTCATAAATTTATTTTTAAATGGCTTAGAATTTTTAGATTTATAGGGTAAGGCTTTCATGTTTTGAAAAAGATGCCAAGACATTAAAATTAGTATATGATTTTAAATTAATGGAATTGAAAAAAAAAAAAAGATTAGGCCTCTAATATTGTAGAATCTTATTAGCAATCTAGTCTTCCTAAAGGCACTTCAGTGAGCCTATACAGACATTTATACAGAAGAGTTTTGCTGGTGTTTTATAGTTTTTCCTGTGAGTGAAAAATTTCTTGATTTAAAGTATTGACAGTTGATGTTCAGACACCTTGAGTTAGTGAATTTAATGAATTACATGTCTATGTAAAGTGGAAACTTGCTTAAATCTCTTCAGATTAAATACTTTCATTAAATTTTACTATAAAATGTTATATAAAAGTATATAATTACATTAAATGCCAGGTGAGCCAGATATTTCTTAGTCTTTTACCAAAAAAATTATGTTGTTATAGTTTCTTTAATTTCAAATCTGAATAATAGTTTATGATATTTTCATGGAAGAACTTAAAAATTTGAAGTATTGTTTAAAATTTCTAATTTGGATAGTGTTTGCCTGTCAGGGAGTCTTTTAAAAGTTTGGTATATTCACACTTTACTTTCTTTAATAAAATTTTAATAAAATGTTGCATTATACATGCAATACATAAACATATGAAGTAAAAGAAGTACAGAAAATCATAAGACAAGAAAGTCTATGTACCCTGCTGATTGTACTATTACTGGTACCTTGCTAATTGTGCTTGATTGTATTCTTATTGGAGGTAAAAAATCACTATTTTTTATTTTTGTTTTTGAAAAGGAATCTCACTCTGTACCCAGGCTAGAGTGCAGTGGCATGATCTCAGCTCACTATAGCCTCCGCATTCCAGGTTCAAGGGATTCTCTTGCCTCAGCCTCCCAGGTAGCTGGGATTATAGGTGCACACCACCACGCCTGGCTAATTTTTTTGTATTTCTATTAAATACGGGGTTTCACCATGTTGGCCAGGCTGGTCTTGAACTCCTGACCTCAGGTGATTCGCCCCCTAACCTCAGGTGATCTGCCCACCTTGGCCTCCCAAAGTGCTGGGATTATAGGCATGAGCCACTGTGCCTGGCCAAAAATCGCTTTTAATGATTTGGTGTATGTCTTGCTAGATCCTTCATTGAACCTTTACCTTTATTACAAATGTATTTTCTTTGTCTTTTTTTTTTTTTTTTTTTGGTACAGGATCTTGCTCTGTTGCCCAGGCTGGAGTGAAATGGCACTTTCATGGCTCACTGCAGCCTTGACCTTCCAGGCTCAAGAGATCCTCTCACCTCAGCCTCCCAAATAGCTGGGACCACAGGTGAACACCACTATGCCTGGCTAATTTTTGAATTTTTTTTTTTTTTGTAGAGATGGGGTTTTGCTATAATGCCCATGCTGGTCTAAATTCTTGGGCTCAAGTAATCTGCCTGCCTTGGCCTCCCAAAGTGCTGGGATTACAGGCATGATTACAGGATTATTGCACCCAGCCTTATTTTCTTAATATGTGTAGTTTATATCTTTATCTTTTAATAGACTAGTTTTAACATAATCAGTATATCAAACGCATTGTTGTGCAACTGACATTTGCCACTTAACTATTTATATTGGAAATTGTTCCATGTTAACGTATATAGATCTACCTGATTCTTAATTACAGCAACGTTTTTCTTACCAAGAATATACTATAATTTACTTAAATCATTTTTCTTTCGAACATTATGTTATTTCCAATTTTTGTTATTACATGTAGTATTTGTATTCATGTTCTTGTGAACATAGATTGTTCCATAGGATAAATTTCTAGAGGTGAAACTCCTGGAAGAAAGCAAATGCCAGTTTAAAATTTTGATGGTTATCACATAAACAGAACCAAAGACAAAAACCATGATTATCTCAATAGTTGCATAGAAGGCCTTCTACAAAATTCAACAGCCCTTTATGCTAAAAACTCTGAATAAACTAGGTATTGATGGAACGTATCTCAAAATAATAAGAGGTGTTTATTACAAACCCATAACCAATATCATACTGAATGGGCAAAAATTGGAAGCATTCCCTTTGAAAACCGGCATAAGACCCAAGGATGCCCTCTTTCACCACTCCTATTCAACATAGTATTGGAAGTTCTGGCCAGGGCAATCAGGCAAGAAAAAGAAATAAAGCGTATTCAATTAGGAAAAGAGGAAGTCAAATTGTCACTATTTGCAGATGACATGATTGTATATTTAGAAGACCCTTTGTTTTAGCCCAAAATCTCCTTAAGCTGATAAGCAACTTCAGCAAAGTCTCAGGATACAAAATCAATGTGCAAAAATCACAAGCATTCCTATACACCAATAACAGACAAACAGAGAGCCAAATCATGATCGAACTCCCATTCACAATTGTTACAAAGAGAATAAAATACCTAGGAATACAACTAGCATGGGATGCAAAGGACCTCTTCAAGGAGAACTACAAACCACTGCTTAAGGAAATAAGAGAGGACAGAAACAGATGGAAAAACATTCCATGCTCATGGTTAGGAAGAGTCAATATAGTGAAATGGCCATACTGCCCAAAGTAATTTATAGATTCAATGCTATCCTCATCAAGCTACCATTGACTTTCTTCACAGAATTGGAAAGAACCACCTTAAATTTCATATGGAACCAAAAAAAGCCTGCATAACCAAGACAGTCCTAAGCAAAAACAAACAAACAAAAGCTGGAGGCATCATGCTACCTGACTTCAAACTATATTACAAGGCTACAGTAATCAAAACAGCATGGTACTGGTACCAAAACAGAGATATAGACTAATGGAACAGAACAGAGGTCTCAGAAATAATGCCACACATCTACAACCATCTGATCTTTGACAAACCTGACAAAAATAAGCAATTGGGAAAGGATTACCTATTTAATTAATGGTGTTGGGAAAACTGGCTAGCCATATCCAGAAAGCTGAAACTGGATCCCTTCCTTACACCATATACAAAAATTAACTCCAGATGGATTAAAGATTTGCATGAAAGGCCTAACACCATAAAAACTCTAGAAGAAAACCTGAGCAGTATCATTCAGGACACAGGCAAGGGCAAGGACTTTATGACTGAAACACCAAAAGCAATGGCAACAAAAGCCAAAATAGACTTCAGTGAACTGGCAGCCAACAGAATGGGAAAAACATTTTGCAATCTATCCATCTGACAAAGGGCTAATATCCAGAATCTAAAAGGAGTTAAACAAATTTACAAGAAAAAAACAACCCCATCAAAAAGTGGGCAAAGGATATGAACAGACACTTCTCAAAAGAAGACATTTATGTAGCCCACAAACATGAAAAAAAAATCTCATCATCACAGGTCATTAGAGAAATGCAAATCAAAACCGCTTTGAGATATCATCTCACACCAGTTAGAATGGCAATCATTAAAAAATCAGGAGACAACAGATGCTGGAGAGGATGTGGAGAAATAGGAATGCTTTTACGCCATTGGTGGGAGTGTAAGTTAGTTCAACCATTGTGGAAGACAGTGTGGCAAGTCTTCAAGGATCTAGAAATAGAAATACCATTTGACCCAGCAATCCCATTTCTGGTTATATACCTAAAGGATTATAAATCATTCTATTATAAAGACACATGCACACATATATTTATTGTGGCACTGTTCACAATAGCAAATACTTGGAACCAACCCAAATGCCCCTCAGTGATAGACTGGATAAAGAAAATGTGGCACATATACACTGCGGAATACTGTGCAGCCACAAAATAGGATGAGTTCATGTCCTTTGCAGGGATGTGGATAAAGCCGGAAACCATCATTCTCAGCAAACTGACAGGAGAACAGACAACCAAACACTGCATGTTTTCGCTCATAAGTGGAGGTTGAACAATGAGAACACATGGACACAGGAGGGGAACATCAAACGGGGGCTTTTTTGGGGGTGAGGGGAGGGATAGCAGGGGGTGGGGGAATTGGAGAGGGACAGCATTAGGAGAAATACCTAATGTAGATGACGGTGTGATGGATGCAGCAAACCACCATGGCACGTGTACATCTGTATAACAAACCTGCACGATCTGCACATGTACCCCAGAACTTAAAGTATAATAAAAAAATAAAAATAAATTTTGATGGGTATTATACCAAGTTGTCCTTTGAGAAGATAGCATTAACTTATATTTGGCCAATAGTTGATGAAGTGACCACTTTCCTACATTTTGTTAATATATCTCGAGTGAAAAATGTTACCTCATGGTTATTTAATTAGCATATCTTTTTTTGCCAATGAAGCTGAACAGTTTTTTTCATGTTTATTAGTAATTTACGTTGATTACCTGCATACATATATTGCCCATGTTGTTGGGTTATTATTTTTGTTTATTTATAGAAGCTTTTAATATAATATTGGCATTATACTTTTTAAATATATGTTGTTAATATTTTCTCATTGTTGCTTGTCTTTTTACTTTGTTTATATATTTTTTGCTTTATCTTTTAAAAATTTTTAACTATATCCTGTGCCAGATTCTGGTTGGTTAGAGTTCTGTGTAAAGTTCTTTTAATTGCAACCAACAGAAACTAACTCTGACATGAACCTAAACACAAAAGAAAACTTGATAGCTCATTGAAAGAAAGGAAAAAC